TGTCAGGTAGTTAATAGTGTACAGGGAAAGAAGTTAATGTTTGTCAGGTACTTAATAGTGTACAGGGAAAGAAGTTAATGTTTGTCAGGTAGTTAATAGTGTACAGGGAAAGAAGTTAATGTTTGTCAGGTACTTAATAGTGTACAGGGAAAGAAGTTAATGTTTGTCAGGTAGTTAATAGTGTACAGGGAAAGAAGTTAATGTTTGTCAGGTAGTTAATAGTGTACAGGGAAAGAAGTTAATGTTTGTCAGGTAGTTAATAGTGTTCAGGGAAAGAAGTTAATGTTTGTCAGGTACTTAATAGTGTACAGGGAAAGAAGTTAATGTTTGTCAGGTACTTAATAGTGTACAGGGAAAGAAGTTAATGTTTGTCAGGTAGTTAATAGTGTACAGGGAAAGAAGTTAATGTTTGTCAGGTACTTAATAGTGTACAGGGAAAGAAGTTAATGTTTGTCAGGTAGTTAATAGTGTTCAGGGAAAGAAGTTAATGTTTGTCAGGTAGTTAATAGTGTACAGGGAAAGAAGTTAATGTTTGTCAGGTAGTTAATAGTGTACAGGGAAAGAAGTTAATGTTTGTCAGGTAGTTAATAGTGTTCAGGGAAAGAAGTTAATGTTTGTCAGGTAGTTAATAGTGTTCAGGGAAAGAAGTTAATGTTTGTCAGGTAGTTAATAGTGTACAGGGAATGAAGTTAATGTTTGTCAGGTAGTTAATAGTGTACAGGGAAAGAAGTTAATGTTTGTCAGGTAGTTAATAGTGTACAGGGAAAGAAGTTAATGTTTGTCAGGTAGTTAATAGTGTTCAGGGAAAGAAGTTAATGTTTGTCAGGTACTTAATAGTGTACAGGGAAAGAAGTTAATGTTTGTCAGGTAGTTAATAGTGTTCAGGGAAAGAAGTTAATGTTTGTCAGGTAGTTAATAGTGTACAGGGAAAGAAGTTAATGTTTGTCAGGTAGTTAATAGTGTTCAGGGAAAGAAGTTAATGTTTGTCAGGTAGTTAATAGTGTACAGGGAAAGAAGTTAATGTTTGTCAGGTACTTAATAGTGTTCAGGGAAAGAAGTTAATGTTTGTCAGGTAGTTAATAGTGTACAGGGAAAGAAGTTAATGTTTGTCAGGTACTTAATAGTGTACAGGGAAAGAAGTTAATGTTTGTCAGGTACTTAATAGTGTTCAGGGAAAGAAGTTAATGTTTGTCAGGTAGTTAATAGTGTACAGGGAAAGAAGTTAATGTTTGTCAGGTAGTTAATAGTGTACAGGGAAAGAAGTTAATGTTTGTCAGGTACTTAATAGTGTTCAGGGAAAGAAGTTAATGTTTGTCAGGTAGTTAATAGTGTACAGGGAAAGAAGTTAATGTTTGTCAGGTAGTTAATAGTGTTCAGGGAAAGAAGTTAATGTTTGTCAGGTAGTTAATAGTGTACAGGGAAAGAAGTTAATGTTTGTCAGGTACTTAATAGTGTACAGGGAAAGAAGTTAATGTTTGTCAGGTAGTTAATAGTGTACAGGGAAAGAAGTTAATGTTTGTCAGGTACTTAATAGTGTACAGGGAAAGAAGTTAATGTTTGTCAGGTAGTTAATAGTGTACAGGGAAAGAAGTTAATGTTTGTCAGGTAGTTAATAGTGTACAGGGAAAGAAGTTAATGTTTGTCAGGTAGTTAATAGTGTTCAGGGAAAGAAGTTAATGTTTGTCAGGTACTTAATAGTGTACAGGGAAAGAAGTTAATGTTTGTCAGGTAGTTAATATTAATAGTGTACAGGGAAAGAAGTTAATGTTTGTCAGGTAGTTAATAGTGTACAGGGAAAGAAGTTAATGTTTGTCAGGTACTTAATAGTGTACAGGGAAAGAAGTTAATGTTTGTCAGGTAGTTAATAGTGTTCAGGGAAAGAAGTTAATGTTTGTCAGGTAGTTAATAGTGTACAGGGAAAGAAGTTAATGTTTGTCAGGTAGTTAATAGTGTACAGGGAAAGAAGTTAATGTTTGTCAGGTAGTTAATAGTGTTCAGGGAAAGAAGTTAATGTTTGTCAGGTAGTTAATAGTGTTCAGGGAAAGAAGTTAATGTTTGTCAGGTAGTTAATAGTGTACAGGGAAAGAAGTTAATGTTTGTCAGGTAGTTAATAGTGTACAGGGAAAGAAGTTAATGTTTGTCAGGTAGTTAATAGTGTACAGGGAAAGAAGTTAATGTTTGTCAGGTAGTTAATAGTGTTCAGGGAAAGAAGTTAATGTTTGTCAGGTACTTAATAGTGTACAGGGAAAGAAGTTAATGTTTGTCAGGTAGTTAATAGTGTTCAGGGAAAGAAGTTAATGTTTGTCAGGTAGTTAATAGTGTACAGGGAAAGAAGTTAATGTTTGTCAGGTAGTTAATAGTGTACAGGGAAAGAAGTTAATGTTTGTCAGGTAGTTAATAGTGTACAGGGAAAGAAGTTAATGTTTGTCAGGTAGTTAATAGTGTACAGGGAAAGAAGTTAATGTTTGTCAGGTAGTTAATAGTGTACAAGGAAAGAAGTTAATGTTTGTCAGGTACTTAATAGTGTTCAGGGAAAGAAGTTAATGTTTGTCAGGTAGTTAATAGTGTACAGGGAAAGAAGTTAATGTTTGTCAGGTAGTTAATAGTGTACAGGGAAAGAAGTTAATGTTTGTCAGGTAGTTAATAGTGTACAGGGAAAGAAGTTAATGTTTGTCAGGTACTTAATAGTGTTCAGGGAAAGAAGTTAATGTTTGTCAGGTACTTAATAGTGTTCAGGGAAAGAAGTTAATGTTTGTCAGGTAGTTAATAGTGTACAGGGAAAGAAGTTAATGTTTGTCAGGTAGTTAATAGTGTACAGGGAAAGAAGTTAATGTTTGTCAGGTAGTTAATAGTGTTCAGGGAAAGAAGTTAATGTTTGTCAGGTAGTTAATAGTGTACAGGGAAAGAAGTTAATGTTTGTCAGGTAGTTAATAGTGTACAGGGAAAGAAGTTAATGTTTGTCAGGTACTTAATAGTGTTCAGGGAAAGAAGTTAATGTTTGTCAGGTAGTTAATAGTGTACAGGGAAAGTCGTTAATGTTTGTCAGGTAGTTAATAGTGTACAGGGAAAGAAGTTAATGTTTGTCAGGTAGTTAATAGTGTACAGGGAAAGAAGTTAATGTTTGTCAGGTAGTTAATAGTGTACAGGGAAAGAAGTTAATGTTTGTCAGGTAGTTAATAGTGTTCAGGGAAAGAAGTTAATGTTTGTCAGGTACAGCGGATATTTATCATGTACACTCTGTAAATCAAAGTACTGAAAGTACTGAGAGGCTAAACGTATTGAAAAATGTTCACAAATAACCGCTAAGCTATATTACTTTCCCCATACTCCTACACTTTGGAATGCAAAAATTACTAAAATGAGAGAACCAGAGGCTATTTTTCTTAATTTTAAGCGATTTTATATCTTCTTTAATTCTTATTTCAAATTTGACGACAATAATGTGAACAAATCAAAATAGGTAAAAACAAAATACACACAACCATATATTTATCGCCAACAAGCCAAATGATAAATAGCTCTATGATGAAGTTGAGTAAATAAAACCTTTGAAATACCCAAGATGTTGCAATTACTATCCTATCAAAATGAGGATTTAAACAAATCGAAAGGACTTTATACCTACTTCTTTGTTTTGAATGTATTGCAAAGTAATAGTCCTTACTTATTATAATTATATTTGTAGTTGAGGAAAGTAGATAAGGTGTACACAGCATTTCAGATAGATAAAAGTGTAAGTAATTACATTAAATGTATTTACATGCCTATCTTCCTTGAAGTATCATGGTTAGACTTTTCTTCCAGTAATTATGTCTATAAAGGCATAGTTCTATGAGATTAAACCAGACTTCCATATATATACAAAATTTACAATATTTTCACTATAGGTACTACTATTGTTGATCTCCAATGCATTAGATAATGTCACCATGACATGCTAAATGAATAAATATGTTATGGAAATATTTTGTTTTAGTTAATTGATAATTATAAACATGAATTTTTTGGGGTTTTTTTTATACGCGCTTTATTTGAAGGAATATTTTCATTTTAAGGAACTTTGATACACATTAACCTTGAGAAATCAGCACAATCAACCTTCATCGAATAAAACTAAAACGTAAAAAATATAAGTTATAACAAAGTCAACATCATGATCAGAGTACAGTATTAAAAATATATCATTCATAAATCATGAGCACCAAATGTACCTTGCCTACGAAGCGCAAACTTTTTATCTTCTTGAAACTTGAAAAAGTGTCATGGCGGTGGGTGTGAAAATCCTGAAAAAGTGTCATATCTTCGGGTGTGCGCGTAGGACGAACGGTCCAATTTTGTGACGTCTAATGAGGTAAAGTGATGTTATATATTAAGACGATCTTGCCACAACGACAAGGATTAAAGCAAAATTGATGTTCTGTTTGTAAGTTTTGTTTGTTTATAAGTGCTGTTAGTTGATAATTCAAACCAAGCCCCCAGACTAGCTTCTTATCATGGCGCCAACTCGCACGTACAGTGTTCTGTACGCTTACGTAATGTCGAGAATTCTGTAAAATATATTATTCAAAATTTATCAATAGTTCAACCACACTGTGCTTCTTTTTTTTAAATATATAGTAATCGTATTGTTATTGGAAAAATAAACTAATTTTGGATGCTTTTAAAATAGCGATTTGAAAAATCGCGGCATTATTTACGCAGAAAATTGCCGCTAGAGGGCTCTAACTCTTTTTGATATTACAGCCAATGAGAAGGCCAGGATCGGTAAATTTTGTCTGAAAGGCCGACGCAATAGGCTATGCGTACTGAGTATGTTTAGCTTAAAAAAGTATCGTTAAATAATACAGGCCCTCTGGGCCTCTTGTTTATTGTAATCTCTTATTTAGAATGAGATCAATTATATGTTTCCTTGCAAAAAATAGTCAAAGAGCACTGATTTTTATTCCATTTGTTTACAATTATGATCCTTAACACTGTATACATGGTTTGAGCGGATCAGTATGGCAGTCATTCTTCTCAACTGTGTGACACTGGGGATGTACCAACCTTGTGAAGACCAAGTCTGTGATACAATGCGATGTCAAGTTCTTGAGAAGTTTGACCACTTCATCTTTGCATTTTTTGCCATCGAGATGATTATCAAAATTGTGGCAATGGGACTATGGGGCAAGTTAACCTACCTAGATGATTCCTGGAACCGCCTGGACTGTTTCATCGTGCTGGCCGGGTAAGTCCTTAAAGTTGTATCTTTGTTTACACATAGTGGCCCCTACCTCTGTATACTAGTTTACACTGTAGTGGCCCCTACCTCTGTATACCGCTTTGTTTGTTAATTAGCTTTAGACTATATATGCTACATGTTTGCTGTACACCTTAACATGCATAAAAATACACAGGAAAATTGAGTCTTTATAAAATCTTATAAAAACAAGCATTGTTTATCTTACTTACCTGCAAGAGGTGCCATCTGTACAATATCTTCTGAAATGAGTTTCACCGAATTGTTTCAGAAGCTTTGGCCTAAATTGACTTCTGGATATTGTAAACAGAAGTACATAGAAAACATTGTATATTTACTACCTATTTGATTTCTAATATCAATGATCTCGTTTATTTTTATGCATCCCTTTATTTTTATAACCACATCATTATCAGTCACTACAGACACAGAGAAATAGGAATGAGCACAGTATAAACAACCTTGTGTGTGAGCACCTTTAACAGTATCTTACTGCTGTGTCTTGTGATCAGTTCTGGTACAGTATCTTACTGCTGTGTCTTGTGATCAGTTCTGGTACAGTATCTTACTGCTGTGTCTTGTGATCAGTTCTGGTACAGTATCTTACTGCTGTATCTTGTGATCAGTTCTGGTACAGTATCTTACTGCTGTATCCTGAGATTGGTTTGTTTACTGCTGTATGTTGTGATCAGTTCTGGTACAGTATCTTACTGCTGTGTCTTGTGATCAGTTCTGGTACAGTATCTTACTGCTGTATCTTGTGATCAGTTCTGGTACAGTATCTTAATGCTGTATCTGGTGATCAGTTCTGGTACAGTATCTTAATGCTGTATCTGGTGATCAGTTCTGGTACAGTATCTTACTGCTGTATCCTGTGATCAGTTCTGGTACAGTATCTTACTGCTGTATGTTGTGATCAGTTCTGGTACAGTATCTTAATGCTGTATCTTGTGGTTGCTTTGGTTACTGCTGTATCTTGTGATCGGTTTGTTTACTGCTGTATCTTGGGATCAGTTCTGGTACAGTATCTTACTGCTGTATCCTGAGATTGGTTTGTTTACTGCTGTATGTTGTGATCAGTTCTGGTACAGTATCTTACTGCTGTATCTTGTGATCAGTTCTGGTACAGTATCTTACTGTTGTATTCTGTGATCAGTTCTGGTACAGTATCTTAATGCTGTATCTTGTGATCAGTTCTGGTACAGTATCTTACTGCTGTATCTGGTGATCAGTTCTGGTACAGTATCTTAATGCTGTATCTTGTGGTTGCTTTGTTTACTGCTGTATCTTGTGATCGGTTTGTTTACTGCTGTATCTGGTGATCAGTTCTGGTACAGTATCTTACTGCTGTATCTTGTGATCAGTTCTGGTACAGTATCTTATTGCTGTATCTTGTGATCAGTTCTGGTACAGTATCTTACTGTTGTATTCTGTGATCAGTTCTGGTACAGTATCTTAATGCTGTATCTTGTGATCAGTTCTGGTACAGTATCTTACTGCTGTATGTTGTGATCAGTTCTGGTACAGTATCTTACTGCTGTATGTTGTGATCAGTTCTGGTACAGTATCTTATTGCTGTATCTTGTGATCAGTTCTGGTACAGTATCTTATTGCTGTGTCTTGTGATCAGTTCTGGTACAGTATCTTACTGCTGTGTCTTGTGATCAGTTCTGGTACAGTATCTTATTGCTGTGTCTTGTGATCAGTTCTGGTACAGTATCTTAATGCTGTATCTTGTGATCAGTTCTGGTACAGTATCTTAATGCTGTATCTTGTGATCAGTTCTGGTACAGTATCTTGGTACAGTATCTTACTGCAGTATCTTGTGATCAGTTCTGGTACAGTATCTTATTGCTGTGTCTTGTGATCAGTTCTGGTACAGTATATTACTGCTGTATCTTGTGATCAGTTCTGGTACAGTATCTTACTGCTGTATCCTGTGGTTGGTTTGTTTACTGCTGTATGTTGTGATCAGTTCTGGTACAGTATCTTAATGCTGTATCTTGTGGTTGGTTTGTTTACTGCTGTATCTTGTGATCGGTTTGTTTACTGCTGTATCTTGTGATCTGGTACAATCATGATAAACATCAGGAATAGGTTTAGGGCATATTACCACTCTTATAACAGAATACAATGATTTTAGCTGAGTGATAAACCTGTGTAATATGGTGATGTTGATTTAATATAAAATTATTTCTTCTATGGGATGTTTAAGGTCTGTTTGTTTATTTAGTATAAAATTATTTCTACTGTGGGATGTTTAAGATCTGTTTGTTGATTTAGTATAAAATTATTTCTTCTGTGGGATGTTTAAGATCTGTTTGTTTATTTAGTATAAAATTATTTCTTCTATGGGATGTTTAAGGTCTGTTTGTTTATTTAGTATAAAATTATTTCTTCTGTGGGATGTTAAAGATCTGTTTGTTTATTTAGTATAAAATTATTTCTTCTGTGGGATGTTTAAGATCTGTTTGTTTATTTAGTATAAAATTATTTCTTCTGTGGGATGTTTAAGATCTATTGATTTAATGCTTGAAGATTTGTTTCGTTTTCTTTGTCCAAAGTTAATGATTTGTCTGATGTTTAATGATTTTTTGGTGTTTGATGATGTTTTGGTGTTTGGTGATCATATGGTGTTTAATGATGTTTTGGTGTTTGATGATGTTTTGGTGTTTGATGATGTTTTGTTGTTTGATGATGTTTTGGTGTTTGGTGATCATTTGGTGTTTAATGATGTTTTGGTGTTTGATGATCATTTGGTGTTTGATGATGTTTTGGTGTTTGGTGATCATTTGGTGTTTAATGATGTTTTGGTGTTTGATGATCATTTGGTGTTTAATGATGTTTTGGTGTTTGGTGATCATTTGGTGTTTAATGATGTTTTGGTGTTTGATGATCATTTGGTGTTTGATGATGTTTTGGTGTTTGGTGATCATATGGTGTTTAATGATGTTTTGGTGTTTGGTGATCATTTGGTGTTTAATGATGTTTTGGTGTTTGGTGATCATTTGGTGTTTAATGATGTTTTGGTGTTTGATGATCATTTGGTGTTTGATGATGTTTTGGTGTTTGGTGATCATATGGTGTTTAATGATGTTTTGGTGTTTGATGATGTTTTGGTGTTTGATGATGTTTTGGTGTTTGATGATGTTTTGGTGTTTGATGATGTTTTGGTGTTTAATGATGTTTTGGTGTTTGATTTGGTGTTTGATGATTTTTTGGTGTTTGATGATGTTTTGGTGTTTGGTGATCATTTGGTGTTTAATGATGTTTTGGTGTTTGATGATGTTTTGGTGTTTGATGATGTTTTGGTGTTTGATGATGTTTTGGTGTTTGATGATGTTTTGGTGTTTGATGATGTTTTGGTGTTTGATGATGTTTTGGTGTTTGGTGATCATTTGGTGTTTGCTGATCATTTGGTGTTTGATGATGTTTTGGTGTTTGATGATCATTTGGTGTTTAATGATGTTTTGGTGTTTGATGATCGTTTGGTGTTTAATGATGTTCTGGTGTTTGATGATCATTTGGTGTTTAATGATGTTTTGGTGTTTGATGATCATTTGGTGTTTGATGATGTTTTGGTGTTTGATGATCATATGGTGTTTAATGATGTTTTGGTGTTTAATGATGTTCTGGTGTTTGATGATGTTTTGGTGTTTGATGATGTTTTGGTGTTTGATGATGTTTTGGTGTTTGATGATTTTTTGGTGTTTGGTGATCATATGGTGTTTGATGATTTTTTGGTGTTTGGTGATCATATGGTGTTTAATGATGTTTTGGTGTTTAATGATGTTTTGGTGTTTGATGATGTTTTGGTGTTTGATGATGTTTTGGTGTTTGATGATCATTTGGTACAAAGTTCCATTGTTTGTTAGTTGGTGTTAAATGTTTTAATTGATGTCTATAATTATCTGTTCAATTATTTGTTTACTGAGAATTTGATAATTTGTTTGTTGAATGTTTAATAATTTGTTTCATTAAAGTTTAATGATTTGTTTCATCCATAAAATGTAATTATATCTTTGTTTGAAGTTTAATGATTTGTTTGTTAAAAGTTTAATGATTTGTGAGTTGAAAGTTTAATGATTTGTTTGTTAAAAGTTTAATGATTTGTGAGTTGAAAGTTTAATGATTTGTGAGTTGAAAGTTTAATGATTTGTTTGTTAAAAGTTTAATGATTTGTGAGTTGAAAGTTTAATGATTTTTGAGTTGAAAGTTTAATGATTTGTTTGTTAAAAGTTTAATGATTTGTTTGTTAAAAGTTTAATGATTTGTGAGTTGAAAGTTTAATGATTTGTGAGTTGAAAGTTTAATGATTTGTTTGTTAAAAGTTTAATGATTTGTGAGTTGAAAGTTTAATGATTTTTGAGTTGAAAGTTTAATGATTTGTTTGTTAAAAGTTTAATGATTTGTTTGAAAGTTTAATGAGTTGAAAGTTTAATGATTTGTGAGTTGAAAGTTTAATGATTTGTGAGTTGAAAGTTTAATGATTTGTTTGTTAAAAGTTTAATGATTTGTGAGTTGAAAGTTTAATGATTTGTGAGTTGAAAGTTTAATGATTTGTTTGTTAAAAGTTTAATGATTTGTGAGTTGAAAGTTTAATGATTTTTGAGTTGAAAGTTTAATGATTTGTTTGTTAAAAGTTTAATGATTTGTTTGTTAAAAGTTTAATGATTTGTGAGTTGAAAGTTTAATGTTAAAAGTTTAATGATTTGTGAGTTGAAAGTTTAATGATTTGTGAGTTGAAAGTTTAATGATTTGTGAGTTGAAAGTTTAATGATTTGTAAGTTGGCAGTTTGGTGATTTAGAAAACAAATCTACCTCAAGTGTTGATGTCTTTTTAATTGGTCAAACTTATTACTGACAATATGGAACTTCTTCTCAATTGATTTTGTCTATCTTATGTACACTGACATGTAAAATGTTCCTTTTCCCCAGATACAGTGTAAGGAGACATTGGCCTCTTTACTGAAAGGTCCTGTATGAAC